GCTGGAAAGTTGAAAATCCTTGTTTTTATAGTTTTCGGTTCTGGTGAACTGTATCATTTTGGTGATTTAGAAAAAAAGAAAAAAAGAGCATGCCTTTAAAAACTGCCAGCAAGTTTGAGGTTCGAGGTTTGAAACCAAAACTATCACCCTCACGGTGCCTCGAGCGGAATAATCAGGAGATCACCAAAGTAAAATCCTGGTTTGTCTTGGAATCATCGGTCTGCACAAACTTCTTGACAATCTATTAATAGTTGTTGAGATATTTCAGTCTGGATCAAAGTGGCAGATTAACCAACAGACAGGGTTTTTTATTTATCGTGGAAAAGCAAAGACAACATCTCTTTCTCACCTGCGCGGCCATTTCAATCAGCATGAGCAGCTTTTTAATGCCGATCCACAAGCTTTGGCCCTTCACAGCTTTAGCTATTTTGGCCCGTTCGTTCTCTTGGAAGCTGCCCAGCAGCTGTGGGGAGCAGACGGAGAGAGGAGATCCATCAGGGTTTAATTAAAACAGGTAAGTCCGTTCATTCATCTTAAACGCATTCAGCAATTGCAATTAGGGATTTCACAGTACAGAGAGTTAAAATACACGATGAGAAGCACTTTGCAGGGTTTCAGTGAGAGCATGTTTAACCCCTTCACAAAGTTGTGTTTAGTTACCGACACATTTGAAGCATTGAATGGATTTGGAATAGCCTGTGTTTAATTGTTTTGGGTTTAAAAGTGCTGCTGGATGTGTTCAGGGTTTGCACATGTGTGTGGGTTCGTTACCTCCAGCGCCTCGACCAGCTGCTCCCCCCGCGAGATGTTGGGAATGTGGATGGTGGTGCTGAAGGCGTCTAACATCTCCATTTCCTGGAGGACGTCTTTACGACTCGTGGTGCCGATGATCAGCAGCTTACGACCCTGAGAGGGAGGCAGACACGACGTCATTTGAGCCGGTCGTTCAACCGTTTGACCGTTTCGCTCAGATCACTTTGCTGCTTTCCTCTCGAGAGTCAGAGGGGAAAGAAAACAGCCTGATCGTCTCCATCTATCTGATTACAAACAAATAAGGGGGAAAAAAAAGGCAAGAAGGGAGGAGAGGAGGAGATACTGTAGAGTCAAGAGTCCAAATAAAGCCCTCTGCAGACCTGTTAATCTGACTGTATCGGCTTCATGTGTGAAAAAGAAAAGCACTTTGAGTTACGTGAAGGGATCTGGGTGATGCTTCCTCTACATTTTAGTCCTAAAGACCTTTGTCATTCACATTGCTCTTTAATATTACATCAATTACAAAAGAACAACATTTTACTGAGTCATTAGATTCGCTAGTAATTAATGTACCACAAGTTTTAACAAAACACCAACTGAAGCGTTACATCCAGGTGTTTGTAGGCGACTTTCCTCTGAGCTGATTGGATACCTGCAGCATCAGGATCCATATCAGCGACACACACATGGAACAACAGCAATAACTCAATCATTAAATACTTCAAATGATTCCCCCGATCTTGAACACAGGATGAATGGGAGACTCACAGCAGACCACATTGTGAACTTTTCTTCACCTCAGCTGAGCTCATCAGCTGCAGTTAAATCAGCCGTCCTCAGGTTAAGTCCCGACTTCTGTATAAAGGCAAGAAAGCTCCTTATCGGGGCCTAAAACGAAGCTTCACTCCATGTTTTCACTTGAGCTTATTTTCCAGTCGACTGGTTTGTAGATGCGGGTCAGAGCAGCTGTCATCGTGGTAGTATTGGGGGAGTTCTTATGAAGGTTATTGGCCGCTAATGGAGATCACTCACTGACGACGTTTTGGATTAAAGATTTCCCACATTAAGGCCGACATTGTGCAGCGGTTTTAAGTTACAACAAGAGCATAAACAGCAGAAAACAACGATTGAAAGGAGCAGAAAAGACAGAGAAGAAACACCTTGATTTCTGAATAAAGGCGAGATTACAGCGATCGTTACGGTGGCTTATAACGAACATTGTTCCATGTTGTCACTTCAGGTGATGCTTCCGTTTGGTTGGTTTGTCGATGTGGTTTACAGCAAATGTCTTATTGCAGGGATACGGCTGCAGGTTGTTTCCTATAGTGTCTCACGGTGCGATCTATGACGACGTTTTGGATTAAAGATTTCCCACATTAAGGCCGACATTGTGCAGAAGCTTTAAGTTATAACAAGTACATAAAGGGCAGAAAATAACAATTAAGAGGAGGAGACAAGACAGAGAAGAAACACCTCAGTCACCTGTGAACTGAATGAAGGCAAGACAGCTCATTACAGTGGCTTATAACGAACATTGTTCCATGTTAGGCTCCCGTTTGGTTGGTTTGTCGATGTGGCTTACAGCAGCTGTCTCACTGCAACAACACGGCTGCAGGTTGTTTCCTATCGGCCACTAGCGGACTAAAGATTTCTCTCATAACTGTGTGGTTCTGTGTTGTCCCACATGAAGGCCAGCATTGTGCGGAGGCTTTAAGTTACAACAAGAGCATAAAGAGGAGAAAACAACAATAGAGAGAGGAGGAGAAAAGACAAAAGGAAAGAACAGCGGAGAAGACAAACATGAGCGGAGAAGAAAAAGAAGAGAAGCAAAAGAAAATGTAGCTCCGCTAAGCCGACGAGTTGGAGAAGGACCAGCAGAAGAAGACGAAGGAGGAGAGGCAGAGGAGTGGCGAGTAGACAGGGGGATTATGGCTGCTGGCTGCCCCCCCATGGCGTGGGGGGTTGTGATGCTGCATGCAGATGAGGTGCCACACAGGCGGCAGTGCTGCCAGGTCCTGGCTCTCTCACAGAGCCCATTCTCCTCCGTGTCCCCCTGGCCTCCCCCGGCCCCAGGCACCCCGCTGGGCCCAGCGCTTTACAACCCCAGAGGAGCACTGCAGCCAGGCATTCAACACCAGGCCCCGCGCCACTTCTCATGCACATGCAGCCATATAGTGGGCTATACCCTCATTCACAAACCCATCAACAACAGACACACACAAACTACAACCAAAGAAACTATGAGAAATGGGTCTCTACCACCACCATTCACTCGGAGCACAACGGGCCTGGACCAAAACACTCGCTAATAACCATACACTCACACACAGGCGTTCACACATGCCAGTTGCAGCCGAGGACCTCCAACAATTCCTCGCAGGACTCGGTGTTGGCATCCGTAAGATCTGCTGCCCTCTTTCTGCCACCTACGGACTAGCAACGCTGCAATAAGACAGAAATCGTGTTACCTTTGGAGGCGGTTTCTTCAGCAGCACCAGCAAAGCCTGAAGCACCAGGTTGGAGAAACGAGGACCGATTGGAACATAATCTAAAGAGACGGATGACTTTTTTTTATTATCTCATAGAGGCACAATTTAACAGGAAACACTGCAATTAATGTAACACAAAATACTACTTTAGCCGCATCGTGGCTTTCTGAGAAACAGCCGAGGTCTTACCCAACAAGCGCTCAATGTCGTCCACAACCACACAGCTCAGCTGGGATTTGTAGGCATCTTCAAATATCTATGAAAGAGAAACGAAAGGTCACAACCACATCTGCATGAAAGCAAAACTAGAAAGCACGAAAAAGAAAAAAAAGTAAACAATTTCTGCTATATACAGGCCTGCCACATTTGTTTTAATATATCCTTGGTGCAAATTAAACCAAGTTTTGCATGTTTATGTGGTGATGTAATTAGGAGTTGAGATTAATCTTAGCAACAGCAAAGTATCACCATCAACAGCTGGTCCTGAGCCACATGAATTTGATGCTACATTTCTACAAGTTCACACTCCCTCTGTACCTCCCAGACTTGGAAAGGAACAAATTCTAATTGGCTGAACAATCGCTGGTGTTACTTTCCAAGCGAGAAAAGCCCGACATCAGCAGCCTTCTAGGATCAATCCATTATTTTTTGGCTGCAGGAGGAACGGACTACCTGTGAACACCCCCGTGTTTCCACAACTTTGAACCGGCCCTACCTAATGCAGGCAGCAGGACAAAGTTATTTCATGTTTATCGAACATTTACTCAACGTGTCAAAGAAGTCGTCGGTGTGGCTGCATTTTGCTGCCAAAAAGTCGTATCATCCAAAACCAGAAGCTGACTTGTCTGGGTTTTATTCCTTGGTAGTTTTGTACTCCATCACCAGTTTCCAGAAATCATATGAATTTGGGCAGTTGGTCTGCTCCGAGGCTGTATTTATCATTTCAGTATAAAATAATGAGATGCTGCACGTACTCATTTTTGCTAATGAAGCTAGCAGGTAGCGAGCATTCAATGCACTGTAGTTAGATGTAGAGATCACTTGCAGCTTTCTTTCCCCCAATATTTGTGTATCAAAACTTGGAGTTAATGGATAATTGGACCTTTTTGATGGCTTGGCATTTGGCGATCTCGGAGTGTCCGATCATCTTGTCGGGGGAGCAGATCTTGATAAAGGGGAACTGTGAGTCTTCAGAAATCTTAGCTGCCAGCGCTGTTTTGCCGCTGTTAGGAGGACCTGAGGGGCAGAAGGAGTCACAAATCAACACTTGTCCTCTACACAGAACACTGTTCTCATCTGAGGGTCTTTCACAGCTTTTAAACTGAGTTCATCTGTTGTGTTCAGAAGATTTGAATCGATGTGCTCGAGGTGAGTCGCACCTTCCAGCAGCACAGACACCAGCGGCGTTCGTTCGCTGTTCTTCGTCTGCTGCACCAGCAGCTCCCCGTCCTCCAGGACCGCCGACACCGGGTCGCCCCACCGGATGATGCCGTTCATGATGTAGCTGGCGTAGTCTTCCTGGTTGGTTCCAAACGCCTGGAGGAGAGGAACGGGGAGAGGGAAAACAGCGAGTGAGACGGGGTACATGTGTGTGAAAGTCTGAGGTCAAGTGAGAAAGAAAATATTGCTTGAATATTCTTCTTGACAATAAAAACAAAGAGAATATTCTTTTTGTAAATTAGCCATCTACAAAAAGGCTAATCTACAAAATTAGCCATCACAGACTAGCCATGGTTGCTAATCTATCTTCTAATCTGTGTTTTATTAGCTGCTGTATTAAAAGGTCAAATCAACATCAAGCATAAACACACATTTATGCATTTTCTGCATCGCCAACTGAGTGCAGGCTGGTTCCCATGGCAACGCGATGCTTACAGCTTGCGATGCTGTAGCTGCAGGTTTTTTTAAGTGGGATTACAAACGTAACACTCAACATGTCTGCAGACGTGACGTATTCCCTCTGCTAAAAATCTGTACCGCTGATAGAGAATATGGCTATTAAAGGCCCAAATCTAAAAGAGAGCCACCTTCATGACATTGAGAACTTTGGATTTAGGTGATTTAGGCATTATAATTTAGCCAACACCTTCAAAACGTAACCTCTCACAGGTTAACAAACATAAT